TGCTTTGGGCTGGTCATTGGCAAAATGCTGCTAATACTAATAACCACTTTCAGGATTAGTGCGAGCGTCATAATGAGTTAATACATGTCAAGTGCCCAGCCAATGGTAAGTGCTCAGTGAATCCCAGTTGCTTTTACTGCTGTGACCCTGTTTGAATGGGGCCCCAACACCTCTCTGAATCTCATTGTCTTCACAGGTCAGGTTGGTGCAATATCTCTTTTATAGGATCGCTGTGAGAACCAGTGTTAATTATGACTGTAAAGTTAGCAATACATGGCTTTTTTTCATGTGTTGCTTTAGTCTGGTTTATCTTGCAGGGGACCTTTCCCAGCTGTAAACTGGCATGATAATAACCACCCCTCCAACAATCCAGCATACTACGATGTTACAAGGGGAAAACACAGCATCATACCCAGGGCACTGAGCCTGTCTGAAGAGACGCCCATAAATAGAAGGTAGTATTAGATGGTGGACTAAACTCGCCCTCCTTTTTTTTTATTTAATTGGGAAAAAACTAGTAATTAGAAGCATGGCCTTGTTAAAGTGGTGGCCTGGGAAATAGTTCCCTTGGCACCTGATCAGAACTGTGACATGGCAAAGGTTTCTGCTAAACACGCTGCAGCTGAGACCTTGCCCCTGGGGCTCAGAGACAGGTCTGGAGATAGCAAGGAATTTGCCATCTGGGGTGCAGGCCCTGAGGTGGCTGACGCAGCAGAGAGCTCCACCTAGGTCAGGAAAGGGTCTCTTGGCCTCAGGAGGTGTCATCCCCAGGGACCTCAGCCTCACTCAAATTTGCAAGCTGAGGCTTTCTGCAGCTGCGGGGCCGGGCTTTCCCACCACCAAGCTGGCCAGCACGCTCTGCACAGTGCCTCTGATTTGGGTGAGCTCTCGGACTCAGTTGCTGGGAGAAGAAGTTTCCTTAGGGTGGACCAGTGGGGAGCAGGTGTGGGGCCCGGCTCACCCTGCACCTGGCTGGGTTCTGCAGTGGCCGCCAGCTGCTCGGGCTCTCTCTGAACCCATAAGTCTCCATCCGCCTGTTCTGCTGTGTGCTGTAGCCAGGCAGCCTTGGCAGGCGGCTCCCCAAGTCCTCCCACCACTCCTGCCCCCTCAACTCTGCATCTGGTACAGTGCATGCTTGCTCTTCACCCTGTAATTATCTCACCTCTGCCGCTGAACTGCTGGAAGGAAAAAAGGAAAGGCCTGCAAGTGAAGTCTTCTACCCCCGAGTGCATGGTCCCTGATGTCTCAAGGGGTAGCATCGGCAGAATCCTCCCACCCTGACTTCCCCTCCCTCAGTCACCAGGCACTCGAGGCTTTCTGGTAAACCCAAAGACAGCAGTTCTTCCTCAGTGATGAAACATTTCAAATATACAGAAAGTATTATAATGGATGCTCGTGCACCCACCGATCAGATGATCAGATGCTCGAATTTCATCATATTTCCTGCAAATGGGATACGTTTTCTGAAAAAGATTTAAAACTGTCAGACGGCACTTGATCCCTGCAGTTCCTTCCCCGTCCCTCCTTGGGGCACCCGTCTCCCTCTGTCATTTGATCAAGGCCCTCTTACCTGCATCCTTGCGTGGGACCGAGGAGACAAGCAGACCACAAAACTATGTACGACTTCCTCGAGCACCACTTCCTGTCAGGGTCTCCTCCTGACTCAGCCTTCTTGTCCTCTGTGGTCCAAACCATCATTCCCTATCTGCATGTAGATTGTTTGCTGCAGCCACCAACAGAACTTTTCATCTTGGAGACACGGCAAGACTCCTTTGCTTGAAGCTCATTCGAGGCTTCATAATTTAGCTCGCATTCTATCAAGTCCAGGCCTCCGGGGCCCTGGTGACGTTGCTCCTCTTTGCCCCTCTGGCCCATCTCCCTGGACACAGCCTCCCTCCTCCTCTCTCCTTCATTTCCTTCAGATGCTTGGTGTGGCCCCAGGCTGTGCTCTCTGCTGCTACTGTTTCCCAAGAGACCTGTGTGGCCTCCTCCGTCCTCAGGGCTTCACCCCACTTCACCTGTCTGCCCACCTTCCTGGGCACCGCTCTCCAGTGACAGCCACACTGCCTGTCTCTCCTTTGCCCTCAGTTCTTTTTTTCCCCACACTCCTGATTTCCTAGCAAGCCATGTTCTCACTTATTCAGGGTCCACTGCCTTGCTTTCCCTGTTATAAAATAAGCTCCCCGAGAGCAGGGATTTTGTTGATTCCTGTTTTCGCAGTAACACCAAGCACAAGGCACTTTACAAATGTTTACTGAATGACTAAAGTCAGGACACCTGTGAGCATTTCTTGCTGGAGAAGTTCTGGGGATTTCATTACATTTTCCAAGGTGACGGTGACGCATAAAAGGGTAGGAATTGGACATAATTACCCCTCTAGCATTTGCTGGAAATCTGCTGCTTGCCAGGTATCTGTCCAGCGACGAGCACAGGGGTTTTGTCTCCCTGGAGAGCTAAACCTGGTGGCGGCTCCTGGATCTCCTCTCCCAGGACTGGTGATGAGTCTCCCTACATTCAGCCCTGGACAACCAAGTTCAGAGCCGGGGGTACCGGTGGAAGATGTGGGCAGGAGCCCTGGCAGCTGGCCCACTCTAAGGAAGCTGTAATTTTCCTCGTTCCTTCTGCGGAGACTGTCTGGGAGTAGAGACTCAGGCCATCCTTGATGAGCTAGGTAGGGCGCCCAGGTCAGCAGGAACTGCTTTGGGCCTCCCAGCCTCCACACATGGGCAAGAAAGGGGCGAGGCTGGGAGGTCTTGTAGGAGCCCTAACCCAGGGCAGCACAGAGACACCAAAGGCCATCTAGAGGTGACAGCAGGAGTGAACTGGGGTGAGTCAGCTAGCTCAGGGCGCAGTTAAAAGACAAGTGGGTAATTGTGGGTGCAGTTGGTGGGGCGTGCACAGAGTATGAGGAACAAGTGGTTAATTGGGCCCACAAGCCCAGGACCCCACCTATAATTAGTGAATTGCAGGGCTTTGATATTTGCTCTGGCAACAACTTGCGTAGTAAATTGCAAGGAGAAAAACTGCACCCCCAGCCTGGGAGGTGACCCCAGGTCTGTGAGTCCTGAGCTGTTCTCTTGCACACACTTGCAGGGGGCACGCACACAAGCAGACTCCAGAAGCGGGGGTGGGGTGTGCACCCGTCTGAATGCTGCGAGGTTTTCTGGGTTCCTCTTTTGCCCTTGGTTAAGTTTTTGCCAACTCAGGGCTGAAGTCGAGCCTGGTTTCCTGGTGAGCACTCTGTGTTTCACACATCTATTCTTATGCCACCCTGAGCCATAGTCCCCGAGGAGCAGATCTGCAGGCCAGACATGCGAAGAAGAAGTGGCCAGGCCAGTTCCCCCTCAAGCATAGTGGGCGTTGGAGGGTGAAGGGGATCTGTTGCAGCGCTGCTAAAATTTGTCCCTGAGGACGGTTAGAGCTGATGTCTGATGAAGGATTGGCCTTTCTAGGTTTCAGATCTGTGGCCACCTCTCAGATGTTCTAACTAAATGCAGAGAAACACCACATTAGGACTGTCATGGCAAAACCTGCATGTCACGAGACGCGTGGAGAGACCAGTGAGCACAGGCAGTGAAGAGAGGACTGTGTGAAAGTGTCAGGAGACCTAGGCTTGAATTTGGACTCCTCACTGATGGCTGTTGTGCAGTTACGCTAATATTTATCTATCATCTCTGTCATTTGTGGGTCTGTTTTTATCAGTTGATTTTTCCCTTAGTTATAGCTCACCATTTTCCTACTCTGTATATGTCTAGTAATCGTTTATGAAAGAGTAGATATAGTGATGTTATAAGTATTTCTACTTTGCTCTCTCTTTTTACTTTTTAAAAGGGTATTTAGCTTTGCTTTGGCAGGCAGTTACCTCTCACAAGGGTCAGTTTAATCTCTTGAATCTGGTATTTAAGTTTTGTAATGGGGGGTCCAGAGCAATGCTGAAGAACCTACGTACTCGGTGCGGTGGGGTATTTGTTGTGGAAATCTCTAAAAGATTTCCCATCACTGGCCTAGGGTAGCTTTCACGGCAGGAAGAATCCAACCTCTGTTGATACATGATTCTTCTTGGCTCTCCTGAGGAATAGCCAAGGACCCTCCACTTGGGCTGGCTGGAGCACAATCATCTCCTCACTTTGTGAGCTGTTCAGTTCACAACACTCCTGACATCTCCTTTGCCTGGTTTTGTGCAGTTTCCTCATACTTAGCGTAGACTCAAAGGGATATCCAGTGACTCTGGGGGTTTTTTTCGGTATCTTTCCCTCCATTCTGCAGGGGTGATTCAACTCCAACAACCTTGACTTCCCGAGGCTCTGCTTCCCGAAGCTCCCGAACTGCACCCCTGACCCAGAAACTGCCTGCATGCCTAAAGCCAGGGTTTTCTTAGGACTCGTCTCTTTGATCGCTCCCTTCTCTCACTGGTCACTGTTTTGCACTGCCTGTGTCTCCATGTCTGAAAACAGTAGTAAGTCCTTCAAGGCTGGAAGGTCGTATCTTTTCAAGTTAGTAAAACTTCAGTGACCCCAAATGTAGAAACTGTATAATATGATTTCCCTCATAAGTGGGTTAGAAAGCCCCTATAATGACACATAAGATAAAAAGCTAAACATCAGTTCTAGCTTTCTTTTCCTTTGACACCAACAGTATGAATGGATATAGGATTATCATGATGTTATAGAGTGTTGGAGTTTCTAAGCACTTATCTCAGAAATATAAGATTGGGTTAGTGTGAGTGCCTCATTTTAAGGATGAGCAGAGGAGCCGGGCATGGTGGTGCATGCCTATAATTCCAGCTCTTGAGAGGCTGAGGCAGGAGGATCCTTGCAAGTCTGAGAGCAGCCTGGGTTACAAAGTGAGTTCAAAGCCAGCCTGAACTGCATAGTAAGACCCTCTCAAAAACCACATCAAACCAAACCAAACCAAACCAAACCAAGATGAGCAAAGAAAGTGATTTTTCCCAGGATCTAATGGTACATTAGTAAAAGAATGGAGTTGCAGCTCATTGGACATCCATTCATTCAACTCACCTTTATTGAACAGCTACTAAATTTAGCTGATCTAATTGTTACATTTGTATAGTGTATTGGTATGTCTGTGTGTATGTATGTATTAGTACCAGGAATCAAAGTCAGGAGTTTGCACTTGCCAGGCAGGCGCTTGTGCTGCTGAGCTATCTCCCTAGGCCCCTGGTTTTTAGAAATATTTAAAAACTGATTTCAGAGAATTATGAGATGTTAATACATCAGCATATAATTTTGCACTTCTCTGCAGCAGGTGAGTCTGACTGGCATTTTCTGGAGCTGCCTTTGTTGTTCAATGCAGAGATGAAAAATGTTTCAGCATTTAGATCCCACAGGATATTCCATTATAGCACTTCAGACATGTGCCAAGTAAGTGCTGTCATTTTGTGGCATTGTCAGACATGGTCATGGGGCAGTTACAGATTTCCTTGACATGCAACCATCAGAGACCCATTGTAAAAATGGGCAACAGTATTTGAACGAAATTGCTCAATATGTTGCAAGAAACAAAAGGACTGCTCCATACGATGCCTGGAGTCCTGGGCTCCAGATCTGATGTGTTATTTCCCTGTGCCTTGGTTCTGCCAAATGTAAGGTAAGTGCAATAGACTAGATGACCTACAGTGCCTATCTCAGCTTGGAGAACCTTTATGTCTAGTGCTTTTGAACAGAGCTATTCTGAGGTGCACCAAGCAGCTTGGGGCTGGTGCCAACAGTGAAAAAAATGTGGAAGGGCATTCTTTTTAAATTTAGGTTTATTAGTGTACATCTGTAGTATATATTGTTTACATTCTTTGTGTGGAGTTAGTGCCATTTCCTTTTATCTATCTTCTTATTTTGCTCTTTGTTTATACTTTGGGTTTCTCATGTAAGGGAAACCATTCAATATTTAAGATTGTATGTCTGATTTATTTCACTTCACATTATGACCTCAAAGTGCTTCCATTTTCTTTTCCTACAATGACTTAAGTTTATCCTTCTTTATGGCAAGGTAGTGCTCCATTGTATGTAACTATCACATTTTCTTTATCCATTCTTCTGTTGGTGGACATATATGCTGCTTCCAAGATTTAGCCATTATGAGTTGTGCTGTTATAAACATGGATGTGCATGAATCACTGTCATATGATATTGTCATGATTTGTGTTTGGATGCCCCTCCCAAGCTTCAAGCTATCGTGGAGGCAGCTGAATCTAGCATTCGTGATTGTTTCCCTTTTTACTCTGTTCACTCTTGTTGCTTGCAGCAGCTCTGAATGGCTGTCCCTTAGCTCTGCCACTGCATCTTGGGGCCAGCAGGGTATGGACTGAAACCTTTCCTTGCTTCATTTTGAGTGTCAGGTATTTTGTTTCAACATCGAGAGAAAAGTAACCAAGACAGATGTCTTTAGCTCTTTCAAGAAGATGCCTAGAGGGGCTGGGGATTTAGCTCAGTGGCATAAGCACTTGCCTTGCAAGCAAGTGGTCATGAGTTCAATCCCTGGTACCAAAAAAAGATTAAAAAAAAAAGAAGATACCTAGAAGGGGAACAGCTGGGTCAAATGGAACTCCAGTTTCAGTGTTTTGAGGATTCTCCAGACTGATTCCCATAATTGTACTAGTTTACCTTCCCACCAGCATGTAAAATCATTCCTTATCAACCCTCCATGGCCTCGCCAGCATTTGTTATTATTTGACTTTTTGGTGATGGCCATTCTTTCTGGGATAAGATGGGGTTTCTGGCTCGTATTAATTTGCATTTCTTTAGTGGCCAGTGATTGGCTGTTTGTATTCTGGACATTCTAAATCAGAGGAAAACATAAGTAAAGGTGATAAGCTGGGGTGTGGCTAACATGGAATTTGTGATCTGATACACGTACAGATGGGATGCAGAAAAGAACCTGGGGACCTGGAGGCAAGCGTCCCTCCCGGTACCTCAGAGGCTATGTCAGCTTGAGAAACTACATTACATGTTAAAAGGAAGCACTGAATTGCTCGCTTAGCATCAGAGATTGTAAATGCAGGTGTGAGTATAACAGGCCAAAATAGGGAGGCACCACCGAGCAGAAGGCGCATCTCTTTTTCCCTGTTTCCTTACTGCTGAACAAAGATTTCAAGTTGGTTATGCTGAGCTTCTCTCCTCCACCAGAACCATGTTGGGAGGTTTTCACAAAGCAATGGAGAGGGCGGATGTGGAAGGTGCCTCCATAGGAGATGCCCATGGAGCGCAAGTCCCAGATGCATGGACAGCTCCTCCGCAGGCTGTAGGTGTGGGTGTCACCGTGGGAGGATGCCCCAGAGGGGGTACGGCAGAGGTGTGGCCAGGAGGCTGGCACAGTACCCTAGGGACAAAGGACAAGGAAGAAAGGCTGAGGGGCTGAGGCTGGATGAGCGATGGAAGGATGCCCAGGAGGAAGAGTGAGGGGACACCTTTGCTGATTGACATGGAGGGTAGCGAGGAGCCCCACCGCTCCCCAGGCTTCTTCCTCTGTTTGAGGGGTGAGCAGTGGTGGTGATTGTAGGGTCTCCTCAGAGGCTGAGCAACAAAAGAAAAAGCCTGGGCAAATCCGGGCTTTCGTTGATTGGTTTTGTTTCTTCCATGGTTAAAAAAAAAAGTGTGAATTCACCTCTTCCTGGAGTTGTGCAAAGACAGATGAATCAGTGTGTACTGGAAGCCTAGGAGCTGCCGGCCACACAGTAAGTTCCCAGCCAATGTGCACGCCTGCCTTCTGTTTGTTATTTCTGTGCAAATTTGGAGGGGGAGATAGTTGTCTACTCGGGGCTCCATCAATGCTTCCAGCTCATTGTGAGACCGCGGCTGCGGGTGGGTGTGTACCCAAGGCCGGCAAGCTTCGAAAGCACCAGGTCGCTCCTCTCCGTTCCCTGCCAGCCTCCTTGTGTGTAGTCTGTTTCTAGGTCTCTAATGGAGTAAGTGATCAAACAAAAAGCAAAACAAAACAGGGGCATAGCTGTGATGTCAAAGGCTTCCTCCACTGAATTGCTGGGTTGATTTACTCCCTTGCCTCCTCCAAGGACACGGCTGTACCAGGCACTGACCCTGAAACCGTGCTGGTCCCCCTTGCCCGTGAAGGACGGGCCCACGGGAGCTGAGGCCCAGCCTCGGAAGATGCAGGCGTGAGCCTGGCCTTGGCCACAGGTCCACAAAATGAGCAGCCCCAGGAGCTGTTGATTGCCAGGCTCTGATTCCTGCTTGGTTTGCATATCGCTCAAGTCTATCAGGCCATTTCCTGCTGGCCATCTGCTTTTGGTGGGGTTTGTAGGGTAAAGTATAGCCATATATGTGAGACTCTTCATTTAGCTACTTCTGTCCTGACTGCCAGTCCCCAGGGCAGAGTTGTGACCCTGCCATACCAGCCCAGGCCATGCCATGTGGTAGCAGGTGGTACTGGAGAGAGGGAGGAGGCCCCAAAGCAGGGCCCGAGTTACTATGAGCTCCAAGGAGCAAGCTGTGTGCGGTAATAACCAGTGCATACCTGGTTCACTTTCTAGTAATTCAGCCCCAATTCCCTTCCTAATTCCTCTTCACTCCCAGGTCACAAATAACCCAGGAAAGCCACTGCTCCAGACTCAGGCTCCTAGAATCCTGCAGGCTCTGGCTTCCCTGGGCTTCAGAGCCAGACTATGTGCTGCACTGAGATCCACACCTCCCTTTGAGAGGCTGAAGCTGGGTCCTCTCCCCTTGACTTTGAGAAGAAGGATGGCAAATATGACCCTATTGTTCCCTGGAGACCTGTTCTTGGAACTCCAGGCCACTGTATAAGAAGTGAAAACCTCTGAGAACCTTAAGGCAGACTCCTAGCCAACCCTTGCCTGGAATTCCAACCCACACAATGGTGAGATGTAATAAGATATAGTTACGGTTTTAATTCACTAAGTTTTGGAGCACTTTGTTATGCAGCAATAGATACCTAGAACACTACACCTAAATAGAAGAAATTTTTGCCATCTGCTTTTGACAAATTTAGGCTGATTTTATGTGATTTACCCCAACCATCTGCTCCTGTCCATGATAATTTTATTTTGTTCAAAACTTGGATCAAGCTATCTCTTCACCAAGCCAAATCCTTACCTGGTTCCCTGACAGCTCCTGGCACCCAGCATACCTCTCGGGCTTCCCAGCTACGACTTGGTTGTCAGTAAAATTCTGCACCCACCTTGGGCTCACCCTTGGGCTCACACTTAACTCAGCACCACAGCTATGTGCTGCCTTCATCCAGTGGCTTGCAAAAATTACAAGTAAGTGGCTCTAAAAGCTATTTTCCATGGATCTGGGCAAGTGACTATTTCTGAGCAGCTCCACACACCAAGAAGAGACACTTTGTTTCCTGGCTTATCTTCCCTGCAGGAGGATTCAACGTGGCTGCTTCTCTCAGAGGGATGTGGGTTATATTAGTTACCTTTCTGTTGCTGGGATGAAATACCAACACCCAAAGTTAAAGGAGGAAAGGTTTATTTAGCTTACAGATAAAGGTTTCAGTCTATAACCAGCTGGCTTCAAGGCAGGGTACAGAATACCTGCCAGACAGGAAACAAAGAGGAGAAACAGTTCATGGTGGGCGGAAGGCAACTAAGCAAGCAAGGTGCAACCACAGCCCCTTCTGTCTACACTATTTCATGCAGGTTACTTTCGTGGGTGAGCACACTCACACCCTTAATCCTAGCACCCTTGAGCCTAGCATTGCACTATGAATCAATCCCATAGTCACACACTCTGGATCCAGCCACCTCTTGGGTGAAAAGTGCCCCCCATGGCTGTATGCAGCGCTGGGGGGACATCTAGACACAACCTTAACACCCAACATACACAACATAATGGAGAAAAGGGTTATCTTGGTTCCTGTTTCAACCCTGGCCCAGACAGAAATGACACTGCAGAGGAAAGCTGCTCACCTCACGGTAGCCTGGAAATAGCGGCAGGGGTGAGCTAGAAAAAGTGAAGGAGCTGAGTGAGGATCCATCCTACCACCTCCTCCAGCTAGGGCCCGCCTCCCAACAGCCCCTTCAGCTTCGGACCCAGTGAATCCATCAAAGAGGTCAGATCCCCCAATTCAACCATCTTTCCAAAGCCCCAACTCCAACTCTGAACGCCGGAGCCTTTGGGGGACATTACTGATCCAAGCCAGCATACGGGTTCAGGTCCAAAGACTACTACGTGCTTGCAAAATATTTAACCTGAGTTTCAGTCTTGTTCCTAGTTAATGGTTAGTGCATCTATTTCGCAAGCAACAAGAGGGTGTCTCAGTTTGGCCTGGGTTACAACCTACTCTGAGAGCAGGCTGTGAGGGTCACTAGTTCACTGGGAAGGGGCAGGGAGTGCAGACTGAGACGTGGGCAGGAAGATGGAAGGGAAACCCGGCATGGTGGGGGCATGCCTGTAATTCTAGCACTCAGTAGGCTGAGGCAGGAGGATCACTGTGTGAGATCAGTGTGGGATATACACTGAGACTGTGCCTAAAAAGAAAAAGAAAGAAAGAAAAGAAAGAGAAAAAAGGACATTAGTGGGCCAGAAAAGTAGTCACACTGCTCCAGAGAGTAGGATTTCTTTCTGTGCTAAGAAAAGCACTTTAAAAGATCACAGTGATGGAGCATGACTTCATGAATTTACTGAAAACCTCAAAATTGTACATTTGAAAATGATGAATTTTGATATCTGATTTATACATCAATGATGCTTTTCTTAAAAAAAATAAAAATATAACTGTTAAACTTTGCATGTAGACATTTTCTAATCTGATTCTTTCTGAAGCCAAACTTCTAGATGAAACAAAATAATAAAATCAATGTCCACTATATACGGGATAGCATGGTGTGGCTGAGGCTGTTCTCAGCTGCCTGTCAGTATTTAAATGAATAGATCTGAGATAATGAATTTATTGTTTAAGAATGTTTAGCGAGGCGTGGTGGTGCCTGCCTGCCTTCACAGCTCTGTCCTCCCAGGGGTCCAGGCTGGGCTTGCCCTGTGCTGTCACATGCTATCTGTCCTGTGCCCCTCTTCTGTCCTCCAGCTGAGGCCAGGGCAGCAGGACAGATTCCAGGGCCACACTGTCCGGAGGTCCTGGAGCTGGACACCCGGCTAGAAGGAATGAACGCGGCCGAGGACACAGGACATGGATGGCTGGGACCCCTCAGGCAAGGCTGGCTCTGTCTCTCCTCCTGTTCTCTGAGGCAGCCTGAGGTTCCAACCCGACTGCAGGCTGGGGGAGAGCCGGGCAGAACTGCAGGTCCCAGGTTCCTCTCATGGGTCCCGGTACACAGGAAAGACACCTTCTGTCTCTGGGTCTGCTCTGCTCCTCCTGTGTCCCCCAGCTGGCTGTCCTTTCCTCTGCGAGGATTAGTATGATTGGTATCCAAAGGGATTCGAGCTGGACAAGCTGTCCTATAATCCCGGCACTTGGGAGGGTGAGGCAGGAGGTTCGAACTTCAAGCTTGGTCTGGGAAATTTAGTGATTTCCTGTCTCAGAAACGGCTGAGATTCAACCTTCAGCACCACAGAGCAAAAGAAGAGAAAAAGGTGGAAGGAGAAGGGGAAGGGGCAGGAAGTGGAAGCAGCATTTCAAGGGCTGCTGGGGCCCAGACTCCTCTGGAATCACGGTCTAATCCCTCCGCACAAAAATGCACCAAGAGGTCCCTTGTGCTGGGCAGAGGAAGAGCGAGGAAGAGCGGCAGCAGCTTTGGGCAGCGCCAGCAGCACAGGCTCTAGCTCCGAGCTGAAGAGGGGGAAGAGGTGAGACTCCAGGCCCAGGAGCAGCATTAGGGGAAGGAGAGGGGAAGAGGGAGCGGTGTTCGGGCTGAGGAAGGAGGAAGAGGGAAGAGCCGGTGGACAGGACAGCCGTAGGGGCTGGAGGAGGGGACCTGAGCTCTCCAGGCCGCCTTGCCTGCTGAGTGTGAGAGGCTTGGAGAGCTCTGCTGTGTGCTCTGGAGGACTTGCAGCCTGTTGTTTCCAGTCCATTGCTTCACAGAGTGAAGGAGGCAGGCAAAACAAGAATAAGCACGCCCACTTTCCCGATGAGGAAACCCTGACTCAGACATGAAAGGTGGCCGGTGGGGATGGGACTCCTGTGCTCAGATCTCCCAGATCCCGGTTTGGAGCCATTTCTGTGGCAAGAAGCAGACATCTGGTGCCTGCACCCGACCCCCAGACTCAGGGTGACCCATGAGCACTCCAGGACTCTCTCAGGTCTCCCAGCATCCATGTGACTGACCTGTTGCTCTTCTGTGAAAGGAGTCTGTGCAGGGTCTAGACCTTGCCCTATCACACCATGCTTGGGCTTGAAAAGCTTTGGCAAACCTGGCGTGGTGATGCACAGTTGTAATTGTTGCTTTCTGGGAGGCTGAGGCAGGAAGGTTCCAGTTTTGGATATAGCTCAGTGCGAAGACCCCAGATTCAATGCCTAGTACCAAACAAAACAAAAAGATCCCAAATAAACAAACGAACAGACCCTCCAGGAGCTGCCCTGGCCCTCCCGGCTGCTCTGGCCCCAGAATCTTTCCCTGTTGTTCTTCTAGGCCCTTCGGTGCCTCTCCTGCCCTCCTGCCCCATCCTAGCCTCCTTCCCTGGTGGCCTTTTCTGCACTTCCTGTGTGTTGACAGTGAATTTCTTCTAGCCCTTCTAATTTTCCAAACCATCCCTTCATAGTTTTGTGCCTGGGTTGAAAAATCAGACTGAATCCTTAGCTCTTAAACAGCCGTGAGATGGAAAACAAGCTTGTTATCCTCAGCGCCTCAGTCACATTATCTAGGCAAAGAGGGTAACACACACAAGGTTCCATGTAGCTGCATGGACTCTACACAAGGGGGGCTCAAAACCTGCTGTGAGGGGCTGGCAATTTAGCTCAGCAGCATAAGCGCCTGCCTTGCAAGTGCGAGTTCGATCCTCGGTACCGACAAAAAGTAAAAAACAGAAGCAAAAACAAAAACAAAACCTGCTGTGAATGTTTGCTGTTTAAACATTTTTTACAGGAGAAGACGAGTTGCCCTGAGTCCTCCTGAAACTTCCCTCTGGCTTAGCACTCACAGCTCCCAGCAGCCTCCCACTTTCCGAAGCAGCTCTGCAAGCCTCCTTCGTGAGTGTCTTTACCAGGTGTGATCAGAAATGCAGTGACTGCTGCTGCTGAGCGCCATCCAACAGAAAGGCAGGCTCGTGCGCTCAGGATGCTGCGCTGTGTCCTCCACTTCACTCACTGGACCTGGCACTGTGTGATTTCTGGCTTTTTCTCCTTAGTCAAAAAGACCAGGAAAGGTCAATGTTTTGCATCAATTCAGAACATCGAGGCAGCCTGGACAGTGCCACTAAAGACACCCAGGCAAGCGGACTCCAGAGCTGCTTCAGAAAGTGGGAGGGAGCATGGGATGAGACTGCTCAAAGCAAAGGGACAGGTTTCAAGGGGGCTTCGCGGCACAATGTGAGTTACTGTAATATATTAAAACTATTTTTAGCTTGCACTGTAGTTTTGGATCACGTGACCTATGAGCTCTCGGACCCCAAGCCCGAGTGCACCCCGGAACTAGCTTGTCTCCCCATGAGGTCTCTCATCTTTTGCTCCCATTACTTTCTCTTTTCTATTGGCACATATTTGTGGTGCATGCTACCTACATTCACTGTGGGCCACTGGTGCACACACACATGGCCTCCTGTCCCTGGCCCTTACCCTCCTGCCCGTCTGCCTCCTTGGGTGCTGAGCTGAGGAGGGGACTTGGACACCAGGCCTGTGGCACTCTGCCTTCTCTACCCTCCCAGGATTTCTGGAGAGCCACGAGGGGGTTGCCTGGTGTTGTCAGAATTCAGACCACTCTCACCTGTCTCCTCCTGCGGGGTTTCCTGGTCCTCAAGCCGGAGGTCTGAGCTGGACCATCCCTCATGCACCACCTGCCCCTTCTTCCCGGCCTCCTGGCCTGCCCGGCTTTGGTGCTCACACCTCAGATTCTGGAATGGGGAGAGGCACATGCCTCCAGCCCCAGCCCCAGGAAGCACCGCTTGGGGACAGCCCCTGCCCTCTGTGCAGCAGGCTTGGGGTCAAAAGGCCAGGCTGTGCCTAGACCCACTGCTGGTGTGGGAGGAGAGGCGGGTGGGGTGCTGGGGTGGGGTGAGGCACATTCAGCCGGTCCCTTGGGGGAGGAAATGGCATTTTCATAACTGCTATTTGCAGGCCGGCTGTACACACCCAGTAGGGCGCAGTTCTCAGCTGAGTTGCCCTTTGGAACCTTTTGGGGGCTTGAGGCCTGGTCCCACCCACCGGCCCGGATGCAGCCAGGACGGAGGGGAACTGCCTTAGGGACAACTCTGCAAGCAGGAAGGCCCTGGAACATGACACAGCCCGACTGGCTTCCGTGTCGCCATCAGCATCCACAGAACTCTTTTCTCTCTCCCTCCTCCCTCGGTCCCTTCCCCTTTTACAAAAAGAAATAAAAAAGAAGGAAAGAAAGAAAGAAAGAAAGAAAGAAAGAAAGAAAGAAAGAAAGCCTGTCCCCTTTTCCCTATTGTCTGTCTTTCATTTTGCTCTTTATTTATTCTTTGACTTTCTCATACATAAGAAACCACTCATAAATCTGATTTTTTAAAATTTTATTTATTTTATATTTAACATTGTGGTCTCAAGGTGCCTCCATTTTCCCACAGACAACTCAGGTTTTCCTTCTTTACGGCAGAGTAGTCTCCAGTGTGTGTAAATACCAGCTTTTCCTTATCCATTCGTCTGCTGATGGACATAGGCTGCTTCTGACCAACTTATTTTCATGGACTTCAAGATTCCTTCTACATAAGAAAGTTTTCCTCTTTGTCCTCCACAGTAGTCTCTGTCCCTGGCTCTGTCATTTTCTCGCTTTCTCATTTTGGCTTTTTTGGAGATAAACTCCTGCTACATGATTCAGGCTGGTCTTGAACTCACTCTGTAGTCCAGATTCAGCTCACAGGGATTCTCCTGCCTCAGCCTTCCACTATAGCTGGGATTACAGATGTGGGTTGCCATGCCCGCCCTCTCTCTCCCTTTTTGAAGGAGTTCTGTCTTTAAGGCAGGGATTCTGTCTATCATAGCCAAATATTGGATTCACTCAAGGAACTTTCAGACACACATAACCTCAAGCTTTCACTCCAGAGCAGTGAACTCCCGATGTCAGGCTGAAGCCTGCTGTCATGGATGTTGAAAGGTTCCCAGATGATTCTTGTGCTCTGGGACCATGGCCCCCTCTCCTAAAGATCAGGTTCTACTCTGTCCCCATTGGCCAGCTAACCCTTGTCAAGGCCCTGCCCCTCTCTTGACCTCGGTTTCTTAAACTACAAGAGGGAGCCCTATTTCAGGTCTCGAGCCTGATGTCCAAGACCCATGACAGACCCGTGTGACTTGCCTGGTACCATGGTCTGTGATCTCGTCCAAGATTTTGGCTGAGAAACTGTGTCTGGGGGTGCGGCAAGGGCAGGGGTGCTGCTGGGACCCCTTTGCTTTGGCACTGTCTGCTTCCTTCCTTCCCCAAGAATGAAGCCTTGTAGCTGGCATCATGGGTGGCGATGGTATGGCATGCACCGAGTTTCCTTATCTTCAGGTGAGGGAGCTGAGGACACGGGCAGCCCGCTGCGGGCATTGTGAGAATCTCCCCACACCTGGCACAGGGGCCAGACGCTCTTGTTCTCCTGGAAGCTCCAGGCGTCACCTCACGATCCTGAGCTCCAGGAGGCCTTGCTGGGCCAGCCTGGGACTGAGGCGGCTCTGGGTCCTTGGCAGTTGGGCCAGGGTCCCATGGGAAGGGCCCGAGTAGCAGGAGGCAGCACCAGCCCAGGGAGGCCAGTTGTGAAACTAGATGAGTCACCAAGGCCCGAGGGCTCAGAATGACCTGGCAGTGGCAGCCAGCAGCGGGTGAGGCACAGGCGACAGCTGCTTCTCTAAGGGGTGCAGCGGGGGAGGGGAAGAGGTGCTTCCAGAAGTGCCTCTGATGAAGCAGTTACTGAACCCCAAGCCCCCAACAGCCAGTAAAGTCTGTTTTTCTGCACACCAGACTGCTCCCCTCATAAAGGGGACCCAGGGCAGAGAATACCTCCCCCAAACCTGCACACACACAAACAGATGGACAGATACACACACACACACCCTTCCCTGCTGGGCGCCAACCCACGCTGGACTCTCTCCCTGCCCCCTGAAAGGACAGCACCCCCAGCACGGCGAGTCTGAAGTCTAACTGCCACCAAACCGGGCATGGGTTGTTTTGCAGCCGGGACATGGTCCCAGGGCGAGGTGTCTGGAGCAGGGCGCCAGGACAGGGGTCAGGCCGTCCGTCTGGAACATGGGGCACCAGACCATGGTTCCTGTGGGCTTGCACGGTCAGGGCCACCAAGGAAGAAGTGGCCCTGGAAACAGCTTTGTTTTGATTTCACTGGCAGGACTGGTTGGCCCTCCCTGGTGGGAAGATTCTCCAGAGGCCAGGGCAGTGAGTGTGATGAGTTTGCACCCCTTTCCCCTCCCTAGGAGGTGTCAGGCAAAGGCCGAGGATAGGGTGGGTTCCCAGAGGTTAAGGCTCCGAGGGTTGCTCTAGGTAAATTTAAAGTTTTTGAGCTTGAGTGTTGGCAAAAAAAAAAAAAAAAAACAAAACCTCTGATCTCACATCAGTCCTTTTATATTATTTATTTACTTTACAGCATATGGATTGAACTCAGCGCTTTGGTAGTGAGCTATGTCCTAGTCCTTTTAATTAATTAATTAATTATAGCTATTTCCCTGATTGATGTGTTTTGAAATTTTAATTTTTTCTTTGTCTCTTTGAAATAAAATGAATTTGGAAAACAGGGGAAAAAAAGAAAACAAAAGAAAAGGAATAAAAGAAATTTATTTGTTCATTTATTTATCCTTTTTGTGTATTTTGAGACAGGGTCTTGCTAAGTGATTCTATTTCTGAGGCTGGTCTTGAACTCGAAATCTTCTTGCCCCACCTCCTAGGCAATCACCTTCAGGGAGGAGCCAGCCCAGGCCCTGGAGGTGTGGTGAGGCTCTGGGGTCGCAGAGCTGGGTTTCCTGCCCCATGACGATTCTGTGTCTCTGTGTCCGAGGCCACTCCTGATATCCTTGTAGGCAGGGAGTGCCACCCAGGCCTGCGGATTCTGGCAACTGTCTTAAGCCCTGCTGCCGTTCAGTCCACCACAGCTGGGAAGCTGGGCAGGACCCAGGGCTCCTGGGAGACCAGCTGTGGCATCTCCAGCCTGTCCCTGCCTGGTCCTCTGTGCTGTGAGAGAGCCCACTGGAGACTGGGGACCACACCCCGAGAAAGCCTTGTCCAGCCCCAAACCTAAAGGAGAGAAAGCAGAGCTGTGCTCATGATGGAGATTGTCATGCTGACACTAATCCATGGGATTCATTCTTAGAAAACAATGAAAAAGAGGCAAAGGATTGAAACGGGGCCAGATGCAGTGACTGTTCCCAAAAAGGTCAGGCCCCGAATCTGCTGCTTTCAGAAACCCATAGAAGAGTGTGCAAAATGTTCCTTTTATTTCCCCCACCCCCAGATCTTTTAGAACCAGAGAACTGGCAATCCCTAAGCACGGTCCTCGCCCTCCCCTGGAAGGGGCAGATGCAGGCTCCCAGGCAGGGTTGAAGGAAGGACCCTGCTTGAGGCCAAGGAGCAGCAGGTAGCCAAAAGCCAAGTGACACTTGGGTCTATTTTGCTAGGGTCGCTGGCACTGATAAAGGCTGAGGCAGTGTCAGTGTCGCCAAAAGCCAGGAAGGCATAGGCCAGGGAGCATTAGGAAGGAACTTGTGTGACTCACGGTTACTCTGCTTTTTGAGCGGTGGATGAGGGGAGCAACACTCACAGGTCCTGAGATGTGGACACAATTCCACAGAATCTCAGAGCCACCGGAAGGGACAGAGCAGATTTATGGGTGCCACCTGGGGTTCCCTCTAGCATCCCAGGGCTTAGCACCTGCAACCTCGAGGGTTGCGTTGGGGCAGATTCAGGCTGGGAGAAGTCCAGCAGCTCACTGGACCAAAAAGCACCATCCCAGAAGGTTCAGAGGTTAAGAATATTTGTGATCAGACAGAAGAACCTGACTCAGCCTCCAGCCCAGTCCTACGTAGATATGTTACCTAACCCTTGCTCAGGACTCTCCCCAAGCACCTCTCATGAGTAGATGTTCATGGTTGGCCTCACAGTGTGGGAAGGCCAGGTGTGACCTCACCCCTTGCCTTTGGGAGCTTCGGAGTTCGAATAGCACTTTCTGCCTGGGGCCAGGTGTCCTCTCTCTGTGGGTTTGAGCCTGTGTGGCTGGGCCTCCTCTGGGAGAGTCCTGATCCCATGCATGGGCGCCTCCTCACAAGGGCTGCGACCCTGTCCCAGCCATACCACACCACACCACACCCGAAGCCTCTGATTCACAGGGGCCTTAGGAAAAGGTTCCACTTTGAGTCAGAATCAGCACCAGATCTGGAGGTGGCTCGAGACCCAGGCCAAGTGTTTGGGCAGGATTTCCATGGATCAAGGCCTAGCTCTCTGCCTTCCTAAACCACATGGATCTCAGCATTATTAAAAAAAAAAAAAAATCTTTGAGCAAATATTTACAAAAGAATTGAAGGAGACTGAGCAAGTGATTAATCTTTGTGGGAAATCATAGTCTGAGCCTGACTGTTTATGAGTCCTTAAAACAAGTAATGGGGTGGCATGGGGTGGGATATAGCTCTGTAATTCTACTACTGTGGGAGGCTGAGGCAGGAAGATCAGAAGTTGGAGCCCAGCCTGGGCACTTAGTGACTTAGTGTTATGGTTGTGTCTAGATGTCCCCTAAAATCTCATGTAGTCGTGAGGGGGGATTTCTCAGGAGTGTATGGATCTAGAGTGTGTGGTGCTGGAATTGAGTCATGATGCAATGTTAGGGTCAAGGGCATTAGGGTTTAGGGAACATCTAGACCCAAATCATAACTGCCCCAAGTAGCCTGGATATAAGGGGTAGAAAGAGGTATGCTTGTCCTTTGGTGTTTTGCTACCTTCTGCCTGCCATGGACTGCTTCTCCTCTGTGATGCTGGTCTGCCATGGCACCCTGCCTTGGAGCCAGCT